ATTTCCCCCTAAAGCCTCATGCAGCCACAGGTGAGTAGTTTCAAAGGTAACTGGATTGGGGTATGTGATTGTGGATTAAGGATGTGATAATAAGATTAAGAGTGTGGACAATGGAAGCCCTGCCCTGAGTGTGGGTGGTATACAACAGTAGAGTTGGAGTCTGGATGGGATATAAAGGGTCAAAATGAAGCAGAGTGCTATTGCTGCCTGTTCCTTCACTGTCTCCTGCCTACCCTGCTATGGACTGTTAATTCTCTGTGATGCCCCTTTTCTTACAGTCAGCTGACTATGGACTGGAGCCCTTACAATATGTGAGCTGAAATAAACCTTCTCTTTACTTTATGAGTATTGGGTACTTTGTCTCAGCAATGAGAAAAGTAAATAAGATAGGCCTGGTTAGTATGAATGCCTCCTGTAATTGCCTTGGAAACATTTGCTCTACCAATACTGCACCTGCCCCAGATTTCTCATCCACTGATGCAGGTGTGACTGAGGCATGGATGCTTCTCAAGCCCTACAGCTGAGTGTAGTACGCAACCACAGTAAAGAATCAAAGTTGAAACCCTGATACATGGTCAGCAACAACTTTCCCAGAGACTCTTAGAAAGGCAGACATTGGAAACTATGTGCTTCACATTTCTAAGGGCTTTGTTTTGTCCCATCCAGGATCTCTCATCTATAACCTTAAAATTAAGGGGCAAAACCATGCAATCCTTTCTGTTTAGTCAACTTCCACTAAGGAAGACCTGGTTTAATTCCCTTATAAAGTGAGGAGGTTAATTTTGTTCATGGTTTTGGAGGATGCAGTCCATGTGTGTGTATGGCTACTTTGCTTCTGGGTGTGTGGTAAGGATGGAGCAGCAAATAATGGAAGAGAGAAAGGGTTTCCTGGAGAAACCCTGTTCATCCCAAGGCCAGGAATGAGAGCCATAGGCAGAAAGAGAAGATAGGAGAGCACCCAAGAACATATTAAATCTCAACACTTCTCAGTGCCAGCCCTGGGATGTAGCTCTTACACTCAGGCCTCTGGGGACATTCCAGATTCAGACTATGGCACTTGAAACTCTGAAATTCCTCCTCCTCCTCCTTTGAGCAGAACTTTTACACTGATCTCAAAGTCTTTACTTGTACAAGTGATAGAGCAAAACAATTCTTTTCTAAGTCCACAATTCTAAATTTATAAATTTAAATACCAGTATACTTCTTAGGATTTTGGTAAAAGTTGTGCCATAATATCATCTTCATGCTTTTGCACACATTTATTTTTGCCTAGTATTAGCTTTTAATTTCTTCCTCCTCCCTGGAACCCTACCCATCATTTAATATCTAGTTATATTTCCATCTACTTTCTGAAATGTCTTGAAAAGTGATGTCTGTTTTGTCCACAGTTATGTTTTTTTCTTGTCTCTTGTTTTCATTTATTATCCTTTTTTAAAACAAATATTTACTTGAGAGATAGTATAGCAATAATTGATATGACATGACAAGCAGTACGTATTTAGAAGACCAGAATGGTAGGCATTCCAAGCAGGACCCTAGTATTACACATTACTATCTTCAGTGCAGTTGCTTAGTTCACAGGTATCAGCACATATGGTTAGTTAGGGTGAGAATCATACCACCTAACTGCTGGTTTGTAAAACCTGCTAAAGATTCTCAGGATCATTGCCTTAATCATCTTTTGCTTATAAATGTATGGTTTTTCCCCTGTAATGCTTCCTAGCTTTTCTCCTTGCCTTCTCTTCATTGTTTAATCCTTAAGTTCTCACTTTCCTTTGAATTGTGTTATAACTTTCTCTTTTGATTATTTCTTTTGAATTCTTACACTAGGGAGAATATATGATATTTACACAGGTAGGTCTGGTTTATTTCACTTATGAGTATATCTTCAAGTGGCATCCACTTAAATATAAAGGCTTTGAGTTTATCATTATTTATAGCTGAGTAATACTCCATTGTATACAAATGCCACATATTTTTCATCCATTCCTCATGTGACGGGCATTTCGGTTGTTTCTAGGATTTGGCTATCACAAATTGTGCTGCTATAAACATAGGTGCACATATATCATTATGATGTAACATTGTCAGTTCCTCTGGGAAAATTCCCAGTGGAGGGATAGCTGCTTCGAATAGGATTTCCAGTCCTAGATTTTTTAAGGAGTCTCCAAACTGATTTCCATAATGGTTGCATCAGTCTACATTCCCACCAACAATGGAGAAGGGTTCCTTTTCCCCCACAGTCTCTCTACCATTTGTTGTTTGATTTCTTTATGATAACCATTCTTTCTGGGGTGAGGTGGTATCTCAGTATTGTTTTAATTTTCATTTCATGGATAGCTAGTGATGTGGAGCATTTTTTCATATATTTATTCGCTTCTCTATTTTTTTCCTCTGAGAAGTGTGTATTCATCTCAGATGCCCATTTCTGGACTAGGTCTTTAAATTTTGGGGCCCGAATGTTTTTTAGTTCTTTCTAGAGAGAAGACCTTTGTCTGAGTGCTTATCAGTTAGGATTTTCCCCAAATTTGTGGGTTGTCTTTTCACTTTGTTGGTAATTTCTTTGCATGTGCAAAAACTTCTCAACAAGAATTGGTTCCAGTTTTTAATTCTTTCACGTGTTACCCATGCAATTTGATTTTTGTTCGTGAACTCTTTGCCTACCCCTACGTCTTCATGAGTTCCTCCTACTTTCTCTTCCAGGAGATTGAGTGTTTTCTGTTTTAATGTTTAGATCTTTAATCCATTTTGACTTTAGTTTCATGCATGGTGATACACCTTGGTCAAATTTTAGTTTTCGGCACTACCCATTTCTCCTCAGGATGCTAAAACTAGGTTTCTTATATTGTTCAGTGCCATAGTAGTGTTTTACACATGTGAACTAAGGAACTTCACTGAAGATAACAATGTGTTATACTAGGGTCATACTTGGAATGCCTGTCATGCTGGTCTTTAAAATACATACTGCTTTCCTAGTCATACTAATTCCTGTCATACTGTCTCTCAAGTAAATGTTTGTTAAAAATAAGGGTAATAAATGAAAACAAGCGACAAAAAATGTTATAGGACTATCCTGCTACAATGCTACACATGGCTAGATTTCTAAATTTCTGTGTAAAATATGTAATAGTTTATTCCTACTTTTAAAATATTTTTTATTTTGTTAATTGTTTTTCTTCATTTTCTGTAGGGACGGAGAGTTTAACATACCAATACTTGATGCAAAATACATGTTCCATGTTATGTCTAAGATATTTGATATTCAGACAGTGAGGTTAAGCTCAACCTCCTATGTTGTAGGCTAATAATAATAAGCTTCTCTTCTGGAAGGTTAATAACTTAAGTTTGAAGACCAAAAATTAGAGAAAACAAAGTGCTACAAGGACAGCTACATTGTAGCCCTAACCTTTCAAGGTCAGTGAGGACTCAGGACATAGGAGAATCTGTACTGTAACATTCTGTAACTCAGTTGTGTTCCAAGTTTTCTGATCAAGGAGATTATGGGGTCACAGAGGAAAGTGATCAGTGATGTAGAGTGTGCCTAAGGAGAGTCACATGGAGAGAAAACATTCTCTCAGGCTTTCACAGAGGGCAAATTGATCAAGCAGTGGCGATGACTCATTCACATGGCTGACACTGACAAAGGATCTAAGTGCAATACAGGGTTTCAGGGTAAATCATGAGGGGATTTGATTAATCTTGGCAGATACAAAAGTTACATTTCTTGTTATATAGGTCTTGCTTTATCTTGGTCTTAACCATCCAGCAGAAAAGTATAAAAACGAAGTATAAAAAGTAAAGTCATATTAATGTGCTGAGCTTTTAAAAGGCTCAAGTCAAAAACTTTTGACATTGCCAGTGTTATGGATAACCCACTAGCATTATGAACTACTGAACTATATTGGAATATTTTGCTGAATTCACACACTTACAATATTTAAATGACAATGGAATACCCTTCTCTGACAAAACTAAACAAAAAAATAGGGATACAAGTGAAGGACTATTTTGTATCTGTATATTCAAAATAGGATAGATATACAACTACTTTCTCTTCATTCAATGAGCAAAAAGATTTGTAGTAATAGTGTTTATGGACAGGATATAATGTCTGTATCTTGTACTAGGTATAACCACTATGAAGACAATAATATGAGATATATTAATTATTACAACTGCCCTACTAATTAGTTTTGAAACTGTCTCATTGCTGTTGTTTCTCAATAAATTTATTTTAAAAAATAAATGGAGTATAAGCAGCATTTCAGCAAACAATATAGAGGCACAAAGTTTCTAAAATATCCTACTGGTTTTATAACATTTAGAATTATGATTATTCATAAGCTAAGTAATACATTGTCATTGTAGAAAATATAAATTCCATAAAATAAAAAGTGTATTCTCTGAAATTACAAAACCCACATACAATTACTGGGAATACTAAGTACACATCTGTTTAGACTACATATATATATATATAGATATATATATATATATATATATATATATATATTCCATGATACATTTACACTTTTTAAGAAAGAAAGTAATATGTAACTGCTATATAACTTACTTTTGCTTAATTAAGCATACATCAAAATATCTCAGGTGGCAAAAATGTATCATAAAATTGATTACTGATGACTGTTAATAACAACATTAAATTGTACATAATCACATATCCTTGGAAGATGAAGTTGTTTCTATTTGAGGATAATTATAAACAATGATATGGTGAATAATATCCATCCTAAATAAATTCAAATACTTACTTGAATAAAAATAAGTTTTAAAGTTTTATACATTTTTACATCCTGTGGGGGTACAATTACTAAATGAGCCTTCATTCAGAAGTTTACACTAGTGTTATCTAGCCTTGGAAAGTGGGAGTTATCTACAATATTTTATCAGCGAGTTATATTCTTGGCTATAACATTTATTAAAGAATCACACACAGGAATATGGTATAGTAAAAACCAATTCAGTTTAAAAATACTCACATTCATTTTGAGGGTAAATTTCACTTTGAAGATGTTGAAAGTTATAATGTGGTATCTCTTGCTTGAATATGGATGTAAGAATGCCATCAAGTTCATCAATATCATTCTGTTTTCAAATAAAAGGAAATTTTCCATTAGTTCAGTTATTCATATAGAAACTTATCTTAGTGAAATATATAAGAATATATTAGGTAAAGTAAGTGCCAGATAGTCTTTAGTAATGATGAAAGCTATATTTTTCAAAGATAATGCAAAATATTTTTGCCTTCCTTTAAAAACTAGTTACTGACATAATAGAAAAGCACATAAATAAAGTAACACGATTTTAGATAAGTAGCAATAGCTTTATTTAAATATTCATAAATTTTAAAATATTACTGGGACATGTTAATGGTAGCTCTGAAGTTTTTCAGTAATATATTCTGAAATCAATGAAACAATAAAATGATAATCCCGGTTCTTCAACTTAAGGATAAGGAGTGAGGCTATCACAGTAGCTTCCACAAGTTCTGAGA